CTTTTTGGATTTTTTATGAAAAATTTTCTTGAAGTATCTTGTTTATAATATTTTCTTGAAGTATCTTGATACACTGATACTAAACCTTTGGAACTGAAAATTGAAAGAAAATTATTTTGATATTTTTTTATTTTTGCGGTATTATGCAATAAAATGATTATGCATTCGCAATCTTATTCAAAAATTCTAATAGAAATGATATCATGAACCCAAATTATTTATATTATATATTTATAAAATTCTTTAGTTGGACTAAAAACAAAGTCGCGTATATTTAGTTAAGAAAAAGCTTAGTCGGTTAATTTTAGTTAACTAAAAAGTTAGTCTGGTAATTTTAGTTAACTAAAAAGTTAGTCAACTGATTTTAGTTAACTAAAAAGTTAGTCGACTAATTTAAGTTAGCTAAAAAGTTAATCAGGTAATTTTAGTTAACTAAAAAGTTAGTCGGGTAATTTTAGTTAACTAAAAAGTTAGTCGACTGATTTTAGTTAACTAAAAAGTTAGTCGACTAATTTTAGTTAACTAAAAAGTTAGTCGACTGATTTTAGTTAACTAAAAAGTTAGTCAACTAATTTTAGTTACGGTATTTTTAGTTTAGTTAGTTACAATTTTTAGGTTTGGTCACAACACTATAAAATATTGTTCTTTTGTTCTCTGAATAGTTCTCTGAATTGTTTTTATCTTAATTAGTGTTGTGACCAAAACTAAAAATTGTAACTAAACTTAACTAAAAAAACTGTAACTAAAATTAGTCAACTAACTTTTTAGTTTAAGTTGCAAAATTTAGTGGCAATTTTATAATAATTACTATTATTATAAAACAACATTTATCATTAATACTCCGATTCTTGTCTTCCCTTTTCTTTAAATAGTAATATTTTGATAAACAAAAAAAAAAAAAGAGAACAAAAATTAAAGCCTTTTGTTAACAATATTTAAAAAGAAAACTAAATTTATTTTAAGAACAAAAACTGAATAAAAACAATAATTTTTATTTTACAATTGGAATTAAAACAGAATCAAAAGTTATTATGGAACGAAAAATAATTTTGTTTTAATTTGAAAAAATTGAATTATTAGATATATAATTATTATAATATAAATCATTGATGTAAAATTCGCATATATTATTCGAACTGAGTAAAAAAAAAAAAAAAATTATTTATGGAACAAAAATATTAATCATCGTTATTTGAAATTAATTGGATTAATTGGATAAAGCATAAATATTTTCTAAACTTAAATGTCACTGTCATTAATTTATTATTTTAAATTTCAATGAAAAGCAGTTTAGAATCTTTTAGCTTTTTTTCAATTTATAACATTTTAATTGAAATCAATTTTAAGAAATAGGCCATACCATATTATTTAAAGGAATGTTTTATGCAGAATTTGTTTCAGATTTCCTTTAAATAGCACCTTCAATCATTAATAATGATAAAGAGGTAATGCGTAACTTAATTTAGTTCTACACACATAAAAGCACAGATACTTAATTGAAGTTTTAATTGGTTTTAACCGAGTTATTCTGTTAATTATTAACCGAGTTATTCTGTTAATTATTAACCAAGTTATTCTGTTAATTATTAACAAACTAATTATTATTTAATTTAGTAAAATAAAATTAGGGGCAATATTAGACAAAAAAACGAAACATTTTTCTTAATTTAATTTGTTATATTGTCACAATTTATACTAAGTTCAACCAATTTCTAGTTAGAATTTAATGGTTTCCTTCCATATACTAGATGAACAGTTAATGTAAACAATATCTGAAAATTTATTTGAAATAAATGTAACTTTAAATTATGTCTAACAAAAATACATTTTCTTCAGTTGAATATGCCACTCCAATATCCGATGTAAAGAAAAATTGGGAAAGAAAGAAAAAATATAGATGAACAAACCTTTTTAAATGACGTTGATAGCAAAACCAGTTCTAATTTTTTATCCAGTCAAATAGAAAATGAAATTGATACACAGGAGATTGAAGAAGCAACAAAAACTACATGAGAATATTATTCAATTGAAAAAGAAAGTCTGAAATGAATATGTAATGAATGCAATACAAACAGATCTAAAAAGTACTCAAATAAAACATCAAAGAGTATACTAGATTACCATTTTGAACACGATCACCAAATAATAACGCCAAAAAAAAAATCTTAAATCATCTCAAAAGAAAATAGCGGTAAGATTGATAGTAGTTTTTTAATTTTCATTATTGCCTTCGGTTGCCTTTGATTGCCTTCGGTTGCCTTCGCTTTATGTTAGTAGAAAGTAACGCGTTCAAAGAACTTGTCTTATGTTTAAATCCAAAATGCAAATTGCCGTGTCGAAAAAAGTTAAGATCTCTTTTAAAGGTTTATATCGTGAAAAAGTTGAATTTTCCAAGTCGAAGTTAATATCAATCAAAGTATTATCTATTGCTACTGACAGATGGACATCCTGTCAAAATTATAGCTACATAAAATTATAGCACAAAGATTCATATGAAATAGAGAATAACTCTTTTTTATTGTATGCCACTTTTATGGATCCAAATTATAAAAAAGTTTTCAATTCTTTGAAAAGTACGAGAAAAAAAAAATATTTCAAAAGCGTAAAGGAATTTTTGCCAGATTTTTATCTGACAAAAAAAGTTTGTGAAATAATTCCAATTAAAAAGCTGACAAAGCAAACAAAAAAATTTAGGTTATCATTTGATGATGAAGAAGATGATTCTGGAAGCGATAGTGAAAAAAATGTAAGTTTCGATTTAAAATAAGAAATTAGTGTAGTGCACAAAAAAAGAAACAAAAAAATAATGCACGAACAAAATGTTTTAAAGTTTTGGCATCAAAATCAACACGCGTTTCTGATATTGCATTTTATTTCAACAATGATTTTATACACCTGTTACCAGTGCACCAAGTGAATGCCTTTTTTCTGACGCATTAAACAATTTGTATGCAAAACGAAACAGGGTGACAACTGAATGTTTTCAAATGTTAATATTTTTGTACAAAAACTTGAAATTCTTTAATTTAGTTTAATATTAGTGCAGTTTATTCAATTGTAATATCGAAGTATCTTCTTGTAATAAATGTTTTTAATTTAATTTTATTGTTCTGTAATAAAATTTTGAAAATTTAGTATTTTAACTCTTTTATTTTGAAAACAATAAGTGTTGCTATAATATTTTTAATGTATATTTTTTTGTAATAAATAACATTAGGAAAGAAGAAGTAAGCTCTTATAGTTCTTATAAACTTTATATTTTTCTACTGAAACGTATTACAAATTTATATTTAGTTAAATTTAATTTTTTTTTATTTGCTTATTTTTTAATTTTTCTAACAATTGACTGCTTGCCTAAACCTAAACTCTCAGTCGATGTATGTACACTCCCATTGCTGTTTAAAAAAGTTCGTTTAGTCAAACTCGATATAGTTAAATAATAATTTTACTAAAAATTATCAAAGGAAATAATTTTAGCAAAAAATATTTTTGACAGAGCAATACTTTATTTCTCTTTTGTTTCCAATGTCCAGATGCTGAAGTCAGACCATAATTTTTAGTAATTAAATGCAACATAAAAAGGTAAAAATAGCACTATCCAGTAGTGAAATTCTACCCAAAATTGAAAAATTATAGCATTATACCATTAGCCCTAGTGTAAAATAAAAACTCTTTTCTAGTTAAAAAAGATGCAAAGCTTTTTCTAATAAGATAAACAACCAAACTTTTCAAAAAGCAACAAATATATTTTCACAATATCTAAATAAAGTTATACGCTTTTGTTAACATTCTAGATGCGATTTTAATTGCACACTGCTTATAAAGAGTGGCAACAACCGCAAAAGCAGTTGTCTTTGAGATAACAACAAATAAAATAACTAAATTTAGTTTAATGCATTAATATGATAATTTGACTGGGCCATAAGAGTCATTATTAGGACAGTACCAAAATAGTATACAAACGCCTTGATTATTTTATATAAAGTTTAAATGTTTGTTTTGTTGCTTTTATTTTAATTATTTAATTTAGAATTTATCTGAAGCATTTTTTTTTTTCATTTTTTTTTAAATTTAATTAGCAATTAAAAATTAATTTTTAAAGTCATGCACACCAACTTAATAATGACTATGCAGCCAGAGTTTTTCTTGTACTGGCATTAAAAAAACTGGTTTCTAAATTGTTTTACCATATCTTTTGTTATTACATGACTACCTGAAATGAAATCAACATTTTATTAGTGACTACCTACAAAGATAAAAACTGTTTGTTCATATTTCAATATTATAAAACAAATTTAAAAGTAACATAAAATTCTGGTAAGATCATTACTTTAGATAGATGAATGTTTTTAATGAGTACACTTGCAGATCAAAATCCTTATGCTTTAAAAAATATCATTGAACATAATGATATGTACAATATAATTTACTTTTACGTTTTATTTTTATGGGTGCTGTTGATTGTTTTTGGTGAACTTTAAAATGAGAATGGAAATTACTTGTTTATTTTTTTATTTCTAAAATATCTAACTCTTTCTGTTTTGTTTTGAATCTCTGATCTATACAAGAAACTTTATAATAATATTTTCAAATTCAGTATTTAAAACAAATGAAAAAAAGAAAAATTATTACATTTGAATCAAAAACTAATTTTTACTTAAAATATATAAAAAATTATTGATTAGACATCCAAAAAATAATTAAAAACACAAAAAATCTTTTTTGGCTATAAAGACCTCCTTTACATACTTGATTTTGAAGACTATTTTTTCATTATCTTAGATTATCCTAAATTTTTTTTCTTAACTTTGACTTTTCTATGGTTTTGTATAACTTTCTAATAAGTATATTTAATGATGACCACTACTGGTAATAGAAAAATGTTTAATTAATTTTAGTTAATATTGTAAATTACTTTTTAGTTTTTGTTCTGTAATTTATCATCCTCAATTACAATGCTGAAAGATATAAACAATATATAAAAAATAAACATAATTTACCTTAACATGTCTTGATACTGTTCGTAAATACTTTCTCACAACAAGCATGCTGAAATCAATATCTTGATCTCTTTCATGAATCTAAAATAAATAAAAATAATATGGTCCTTTGAATGGTTAGTTTAATGGATTGGATTGTTAGATTTTTAAATGAATAGTTGTGAAGAAGAATTAATGTTTAGTTGGATAAACAAATAATAAAATGATAAATGATTGGTTGATCTAACATCACTCGGTGAATGATTAGTTGATCTAACATCACTCAGTGATATGATTGTTTGATCTAACATCACTCAGTGAAACAAAAGTGACATTTTCTAGCCAAATATCCCCAAAAAAAATTATATTATAATATATATTTGGAGAACAAAAAACATTAGTTTTTTAAAAATCTTCTTTCATAATTTGCTAATGTTTCAATTTTTGAAAACTCTGTTAACAAGGCAATAAAATTTAAAATAAAAACAAGAATATTTTTTTTATGTAAAATATTCTGTTGTAGGCTCTTGCAATAACTTAATGATACGAGATGGTTTTTTTGTTATTATGTATAGTTTTTATAAATGTACAAAAAAAATCAAATGATCACATGCATAAGACAATAAAACAGGTCTAAAATTAAAATAAAATAAAGATGATTTTTGCAATTACATTTTCTCATTAAATTTTTACAAAACATCTTAAAAACTTTATTGGTTACCTATTAAAGGGATCTTAAACCTCAGAGACATGTTGTGTTCATAGTAAAAAAAATTATAAAAAAAACATTTACTAAATTTTTTTGATTAAAATAAAAGAATAAATGCATACCAAGAAAATTTTTTTTATTTTAGTCAAAGCTCGCCTAATGCTGACTTTTTGGCCTCCATTTTGTTGTAGGCCAAAAAGTCAGCATAATAATCGCCGCAATCTACAGACTTGATAATTTATTCAAACGCATTTTAATCCTAAGAGTTTAGTACATAATGTCGTTGATTTTTTTGTTTGAGTAAAAGATTGATCGGAAATAAAAAAGTTTTTCTTGGTATGCATTTATTCTTTTGTTTTAATCGAAAAAATTTAGCCCAAACATTTTTTTTTTGGTTGGTCTATGCATAGACTAATCAATTTTCAGATCCAACATCAATCTTCATAAATTTAACAAAACTTTATTTCCATCCCCAATTCTAGCCTGCCATTTCTTATTTGGCATCTCAAGAGATATGGAGCCTACACTTTAGAAACATTGTTTTTGTAGTATATTATTTACCATTATATATTTTATATCATGTAGTGGACAATTATCTTTTTCAATAAGAAATTGTTTTTTGACAAGCAGCAACTTCATTACCATTTACAGTTATTTATTTACAGTTTTTCTAAATTATAAATAATAGTCTCAATTAATTAAAAAACTTTAGAGCAAATAATCTGGAGTATTAAATAGTTCCTAGAGAATCAGAAACCATTTACATTTCTAGTTACTTTTTACAATTTATAACTAAAAATTATTGTCATTATCTTTGATCTGTTAGTAACATAAAGTTATTATTATTTATGTAACATTTTAAATTTAAAAATTAAATACCTCATCAAGAATAATATGTGTGTAATCATTAAGATTTTTATTTTTAATCAACTTTTGCAAAAGAACTCCTGTAGTCATATAGGTTATTCGAGTATCTTCTGTTACCTCACGCTTTCTTGAAACTTGAAAACCAACTAAGGTACCTATTGGCCAGCCTCTTTCCTGTGATACACGTTTTGCAATACTTACAGCTGCAATCTTTCTTGGCTGAGTTACAAGAATGTTGCAGTATTTACTCCGCTGTTGATGGTAGTCCAGAATGTATTGAGGTACTTGTGTTGTTTTACCACTTCCTGTACTACCTACCAAAAAAAATATATATATTTATGATGATGATGATGATGATGATGATGATGATGATGATGATGATGATGATGATGATGATGATGATGATGATGATGATGATGATGAAATATTATATAATATACTTAAACATATTTACCTTGAATAACTGTTACTCTATTAGCTTCAATTGTTTGAATGATTTCGTCATGCTTGCTCGTAATAGGTAATAATGGATCATACTCATGTTTAAACTGGTAATTATCATACACTTCAATTGAAATTGCTTTGCCTTCAATCGGATTAGTTCTTTCTTCAGGCTCTGGAAGCAACAACTCATTTTCTTTTTCTGGTTTAGATACTAAATTATCTGTAAGATCCCTTTAAAAGCCACAAATAAAACATGTTAACTAATATATAAAAAGGAAATATTTATAAATAAATAATTATTATTATAAATAATAAATAAATATTTTAAAGCATTATAAATAAAACTTACTCTGTATCCAAAGACAAACTTGATAGCTTTAAATGTTGCTCTAAAGAATCATTCCAATCTTTTTTATATGGTGTTGCATAACCACTATTTGACTGTATAAACGAGCAAGTGCCTACATGATGTTTTGCTATTTGGTGGCCATTACCTAAAGTTTTATTAGGTTTAATTTGAAAAAAGTCATTCATTACATCCGGTGTGATGTCTATTCCTAATCCAGTTCGCATCATTTTCTTTTTTTTCCAAAAAATTTAACTATCAAGAAGTAACAACCAATAAAAAAAAAGGAATTAGATATTTTCGTACTAACTGATTACCTTTATTAATATTATATATATGTGTATGTATATATATATATATATATATATATATATATATATATATATATATATATATATATACTATGCATAATTAGGACTGCATGACACAAATATATTTACGACATTTAAATTTTTTAATAAAACACAGATAAATGACTTTTTTTAGAAAAAGATGATAATAAAGAACACAATTGAAACAAAACTTTTTATCAGGTAATACGAAAATACATATATCGGCCATACTTAAATAGTCATACGTCCTTGCATATGGCTATTTTTGTATGAGGTCTTTAATGTTATTTCGTGCAAGCCTAAGTACACAAAAATATTTGTGCATACGTACAAATATATAAATATATATTTCTGTTAAATTTAAATTTTAAATTGCCAACTTTTTTTCTGACTTTTAAGAAAAAGAAAAGATCGCCTATTATAATATGCGTTTTACAATATGACATCATCATTTTATGCAAAACCAAGTACACAACAAAAGAAGATAGTGAAATTGGTAACTAAGTACACAACAAAAGATATAGAAGACAGTGAAATTGGTAACTAAGTACACAACAAAAGATCACAGACCCCAGTATTTTTTTTAAATTGACCTAGGGTAGAGTCAATTTTTCTCATTTTTTGTGGTATTATTTGATTAATTTATTTATTCTTTTTTCATAACTTTTACAAATACTTTTTTTTCTTTTTTTTAATTAAAAATAATTTTTTGTTAAAAATTAATTATTAATTTATTTTAAAATTTTATGTAAACCTAATCAAAGAAATGTTAACTGTAAAACAATTGGCCATACTTAAATAGTCAAATTTATTAAAAACAATGGAAAACAAAAAACATGGTAACAGTTGAAAACAAATATTTATTTTCTAAATAACAAAATTTGTATATTTTTTAAAAAATTTATAAATCTCTTGGGTTCTTACTAATTAACTAATTTAAATAGAGGAAAAACCCAAATTCCAAACGCAAAAAAAACTACAAAAAATGTTAAATATTTTTTCAATTTTTTAAATGCTAATAAATATCATAATTAAACTTTTCTTATAAAAATTGTGTTTAAATAATTTGCAAAAAATATATAAATAAAAAGTTTAGGTGTAAAAAAGAATTTAAAAATCAAAAAAATGCAAATAAAAATGTTTTATTTATGAGTAAAAAAATAAAAACAAAAGTATATAACTTTTAAACTCTTATTCAAGAACTTAAAAAACAAAAAGACAAATAAATTAAATTATTAATTATAAATAATAAAGACAAATAAATAAATAATTCACAATAAATAAATTTAACCAAGTTTTAAATTACGTTTTAACTAAGAATAAAGACAAAAAGCTACAAAGGTAAAATGCGAAATAACAAACTCAAGATATATTCAAACATTAAACCAATAAATACTTAAATATTTAAATATTATAAATATTGACTTTAATTATTTTATTACAAAAAAACCCTATTTCTCAATCAAATCTCTTAGTTTAGCTCTCATATCTAACATACAACACAAGTTTTTCTTCTTCAATACATCAGATATAGAATATAATACACCGCCGTAGTTGAATACTGAAAAGTTTGGACATAATAAATTTGTTTTAATATCAATAGCAGCTTGTAGAGATTGTGCTGGATCAGAATAAGCTGGATAAATTTTAGCATTCCATAAATTTCGTGAAGGACAAGTTTCGGGCCATATATGCTGCTACAAAAAGAAAAAAATCGTCAAAAGTTACTAAATATACAATATAATTCAACTTTATAAATAGAAAATTTTGCTATTTTTGAAAATTAATATTAAAAAGTTGTGTTTAAGGACAAATCAATGAATGCTAAAGTTTATGCTGATTTCTTTTTATGAAAAAAACTGGCTCAAAATCAAGGTGTTACGAAGATTGCTAACAAACCATTCAAGCGGAATGCATGAGTTAATTGAACCATATAAATGTTTGGCATAAACGCTAGAAAACAAGGTGAACTAAACAATTATGAACTAAAACGCGTCTAGCGTCTGGAAAACATGGGTTAGTGAATGTTAAAAAAGTTGAAGTTGGAGTTGGAGTTGAAGTTAGGGAGACGTCGATGATCAGTCAATAGAGAATTACCAGTCGCTATGAGTTGGACAATCCTGGTCATTGGAGACAAACAATTATATTCGTTTAGTTATATTGTACTAATTACTTTGTAACAAATATATTTTATAAAAATATATTCTAATACAAGTTACCACGAAATGTTATATACCGCGTAACATTTGAATGCGATTCAGTAACGTTGTTTATATATAAATAATTGTCAAAACATCTTACATAACATTTGGAGGCACTGCTGGGATCGCAAGTGGATTCTATCTCTGCTTGGGCCGATCATTTTACCTATGTAAGTAAATATTAAATATTGTTTATTTCGTTATTTTACTCATGCCCGATTACTCAAACGGAACCATAGCTATATTGACTTTATTGACTTTGTGATTTACGTATGAGCCGTTTACGATCGGGTAAAATATGCTTGTATAAGGAATCTAATTGTTGCATCCATACTGCCAGTAATCCTCATACTTCTCTAACCAACTCCTCTGATTCTACCAACTCCTTAGACCTGTCAGGCACCAACCTGTTTGCGCAAGTTATATTATATGCGTTACTGAAATATTGTTTTAAATTTAATAACTACATAAGAAATTAAAATAAACTTAAATAGAAAACAATAATAATAGTTTAAATAATTTGTGTGTTGTTTTTATTTTTGTTTTTTCTTAGTGGTTATTACGGCAACAAAATTCATTAAGTCAAAACAAAACAAAAAACAAAACAAAAAACGGTTTTAGGCATTAAAAAGGATGACTTTCCCATATTTTATGTGTTTTTTCTTTTAAAGACGAAAGAGAAAAGATGTATCGACATCTGTTTGTAAAATATATTTGTATAACTATAATGTAACAAGTTTTTATCAATAGTTAAATTATACAATTGCAATTTGCAAACTCTGGTAAAATATTAAGTCTTTAAAATTTTAGTTCATGCAAAGCTGTGTACTTTGTTTATAAGGAGCAAATTATTAAAAGTTTGCTGGCAAGAAAGTTACAAAAAACAAAACAAAAGCAATAAACTTATGACTGCAAAAGTAATAACACTTTAGTCACTAACTGCATTATAAAAGTAATAAAACTATAATAGTGTTATTACATTTATAAAGCACTTATTACTTTTAAAGATCATTTTTTGTTCAAACAACATTAATTCCAACCATTTATAAAAGTAGAAAAGCATCTAGAAAAAATAAAGCGGATATTCAAATATTATTAAAAATTTCAGGAACTTTCACATATCACTTAAACAATGTTACAAATAAGTACTTAAAATGCGTTAATTTTAAAATCAACCAATAAAAAATTTTTATTGGTTAATTTTAAAATTAACATGCGTTTTTACGGTCCATTAGTAACGTTTTTAATAATGCTAAACTTTTAATACGATACGTTTTCATAAAGTTGTTTGTCATGTTGTTATAAGTTACTTTAGTTTTAATATTTTTTGAACATCCACTTTATTCTTCTAGATATTTTTCTACTTCAATTAAAATTTGGGAATACTAATGTTGCTTGAACAAAGAATGAATTTTAAAAGTTATAAGTGCGTTATAACAGTAATAACATTATTATAGTGTTATTACTTTTGTAATGCAGTTAGTGACTAGAGTGTTATTACTTTTGTAATCGTAAGTTTATTGTTTTATTTTTTATTTTTTTGCGAACAAATTTAAGTTGATTCTCCCCTTAAAAACAAGGAACATGGTTTTGTATAAACTAAAATTTTGAATACTAGATATTTTTCTAGATTTTGCGTTTTGCATTCGCTTAATTCAACCCTTGTTGTTACATTAAAATTATACAAATAAGTTTTACAAACACATTGCAATTTGTTTTTTTGCTATCTTCTTATAAAAAAAACTAAGAAAAGGAAAATCATTCTTTTTATTGTAGACTTCAAACTGATTTTTTTGTCTTCGCCTTATTGTTGCTGAATGTAACTCTAAAGAAACAAAAATAAAAACAGCACACAAATTATTTAAATTATTAATTTTTTTTCATTTTTTTTTTTAATTCAATCTCTTTTTATTTTGTTAGTTTTGTTTTTTTTGTTTTTGAAACTTTTTCAGCATTATTATAAAACTTGCAAACGGCTGTGTTCACGTTTTCTAAAATAACATAATCGCGTGTGGTCATACGAGACGAAAAGCCACAAGCCTTTCCTGGCAAGGCTTGACATCCAATAGTTTTTAGGGCTACAGAAGTAGAAGACATTACTAAATGGTTAGCCAGCTATCCTCGTATTGTGCTTCATAATCAATCGACAGATGAAAGGAAATTACTAGCATTTCCACTTTACTTAGAAGGCAGAACTCTAGTTTATTATGAGACACTTCCCATGCGTCCGTGATTACCACAAACTTCAAGAGCAATTCTGGCAACATTATGACAATGCAAATATTGCATGGAACCAGAAAATTGAACTGTTCAGCTTATCACAAGACACCGATCTCACCTCGTACACCAACACCCTTGATAAACTCAGTCAGCAGTTAGGTATCGATGACGAGACAAAGTTGAGCCTATTCATTAAAGGACTAAAACACCACCTACAGGATGCTCTTAAATTAAAGCAACCGTCTGATTATCAAGCCGTAGTAGCTTTTGCTAAATTAAAAGACTCAACCGCATAGGACTCAGCGATCTCTCAACTGGAAGCTAAGCTGGATGCATTACTGAATCCTCATAAACAGCATGAAAAGTTTCGTCCAAACTGTCATAACCTATGTACCAGCAATGGACAAGTTATATCCAATCAATGCTTAAGAGTAGAGCACGCCCAAAGATCATGCACTGAACAAGTTTTCCTGTTACCAAGAAAGACAGATTATTAACCTACATCGCCGCAACAAAACCAACAGAACCATAACCCTTAAAACTTGACTAAATTTGGTAATACTTTTTTTAAACAATACACAATACACCAGGAAATAAACAGTATTCTGATAACCGAATCCTTTCACGGTACACTAATACTTTCGAATTGGATCCAGAAGAGGACCCTGGTTCCAAAATCTGGTGCAAGGTATGTAATCTTAGAGTACCCATTCTAATGGACACTGGTGCCAGGTGCAGTCTATTGGATAAAACCATGTTTGAAAAAATTTTAAATCGAGTCGCCGAACCACTACCTTATTATGGTGCTCCGAAAACGGCTAATGGAGCACCAATGTTGGAGGTAGTATATTTGATAATACAATAGTTTGCAGTAAAACTCAAGTAAACGGAATCAATGATAATTGGATGTCTGTTCCTAAAACTTTAATGAGAGACACATGTATCCATCACTTCAAGAATGATAAGCCCAATAGTAAGATATTACAACAAAAAGACCTAACTTTGCAGCCAGACAATCATTTTATATTGACTAAAGTTGAACTGCCCCATCCGCTACAAAATGACCGAGTCCCTGTAAACAGATTAACAATAATAAATACACCTCAATCTAACTGGAAAGACAAATACATATAATGCTTTTACAAGAGTCACCAAAGAAGACAACTGTAGAGCTTGTTATGACCCCGGTATGTATAACAAAGGAAATGATGGCTGTTCCTAATTGTGAAACTATTCTCACCATAGCGCAGGCTTTAGAAATTAAAAACTACTGTCTCTTCATACCAGAGACAAACCTGTTTGAGGACCAAAATGTCCATGTTTTCCTTACCATAACCCATGGTGGATCTAACCAAGTCAAGCAGCATGTTGTTAATCTTTCACTGAATTATTTGACAATTAGCAAAAATCAAGCAATTGGTGTCATTGTCCAGCTACCCTCCAAAAATCCCAAAGAAAAGCCAAAAAAAGTGTTAATTTTAGACACGGATGTATACAATGAACCGATGGATACCATAAAAGAATTTACTTTAGAAGAAAATAATCAAAAACAAGTGACATTTGAAGACCCAGAAACAAATAATGTAGACAGCTTTCCCAAAAACAAAAATGACAAATCAGCAATATTTAGTATGGAGAAAATTGTTAACAAAAGGAAAATCCAATACTTAGTCAAATGGTAAGGGTACTCATCATCACAAAATACCTGGGAACCTAAAGAAAATATCTGCAATAAACAGGTAATACAAAATTACCTAGAGGAAACAAATAAAAATTCACAACTCTCTGCAATAACAGTAGTTCAAGCAAGGAAACAAAAAGATAAAAGACGACCTAAAAATCTATTGTTACCAAAATCATTTGTCAATGTATGGAAGATAATGATTCCGACTCTTATATTAAGTATGTTCTTTTTACCAACAATCATGACAGGTATATATACTGGCGAAGTTTTTGATTGTACAAGAGTACAACCAATAGAGATTTATCAACTTCCAACAGTCACTTCTTGTATGCACAAAATGCACTTATTAAATGAATCCGTAAGAGTATTCACTGCCGATGTATACGCCTACCAACCTCAAACCACAAATTACAAGAAATTAGCCCTGGTACATGGAAAACCATTGTGTCTGACAATTTTCATTGTGCATGGATGCGCACAGAAACGTCAGAATATACCCATTTCTCTTTGATTAAATATGACAGTTAAATTACAGGACGAGTAGTAGTGCTGGAAAAGTATATCACTAAAAGTAAGTTTTTATTATTTTATGCTTAGATGTGTTCCTTAGTAAACGGTCACAATCAGTTATAGTTTGGAGTTCAAGTAAACACAATGAAGAGGTTATAAAAAAAAAATTAGGCAGCTACACGATTGAATGTATAGGAGAATTGTTTTGATTAGGAGTCTAAAAATTGGCAGTGCAGTACAACTATCGAAAAAAAAGGTAACATACTCACTCTAAACAATGGCAAGTTTTTAAAAGATCCCACATTTCCAGAAAAAAAAATTTTCAACAGGACAAGTCCACTGCAGCTAATTACTTGCAGAAGTTAGAAAATGATCCAGCAACAGCTATTTTAGCAGCACATATTACTGTCGCCCTCATGACAAGGGTCAGACTTGTGCAACGGGATGCCAGGGGAAGCGCCGGTGGGCCGCTGATATCTTACTTACAATTGGCCACTAATATAAATTGCAGTTGCTGCTACTTAGGTACAATAAAAATATATGGAGGAAAAATTATTTGTAAATTAAGATAGTGGGTATCATAGAAATATAAATTACATATTTACATAATATATAATTTATTTATGTTATAATATGTCGTATATTGTATACAGTATTATTATTAAGGTGTTTTATGCGCGGCGAAGTAATATTATGTTATTATGACATCTAATAACAAATTTGCGTAGAAATTTTTTTAGGATTTTATAGAGTGTCGCTAGAAATATTATCCCCTGGGCCGCCACAAAGAGCTAGTCCAACACTGTTCATGACCCACAAAATGAGTATTGCTTGGGAATATAATAAATGCTTGGGAGCAAATGTGTTTTGTACAAACTAAAATTTCTTACATCCACCAATGGATGATTGAACAATTTCATACCTCATCAGCTAAATGGGTACATCAATTTTCGGGTGTAACTGTAGAACCAGCTGAAGATGCATTGTTGTTATCAAAATGTCTAAATTACACTACTTATGCAATATTGTTATCTTACATAACATGTTATCAAAATGTACTTATGCAATATGTTATCTTATACAACAAGTTATCAAAATGTACTTATGCAATATTGTTATCTTACACAACATGTTATCAAAATGTACTTATGCAATATGTTATCTACTTACGCAACATGTTATCAAAATCTACTTATGTAATATGTTATCTACTTACGCAATATGTTATCAAAATGTTTAAATCACACTACTTACGCAATAAAATATGACCAAAAGATTGGTAATGAACCATAAAGTATTGTTGTGTATTTTATAAACATTCCCTTACAACCAAACTAGTTTAATTGAAAACTGAAAACATGGAGGAAATGTTATTTAGTAAAAATGTTATAAAATGTTTTTGCTTCCGATTTTTAAATGGAAAACAATTTATTATTTTGATTTTTGACATAACGTAATAAATAAAAATATGCTAATATTTAAATTTGTTTAACTATAAATATGCGTTTATGATTTTGCGAAAAACATTTATTTTGTATTTTTAAAAAGTCAGTGGTTAATAAACTAAAAAATTGGTAATTATTGCTTTATTTTACTTTCCTATCACCTTTCACACATATCTTCAGGACCCGAAGCTGAATACAATATATGAAATAATGGCTTTTGGACGAGTCACATTCAAGGTTATACCAAAGACTTTCTAGTAAAGAAACCCCAACGACTCTCACCTTATACAGTCTTACAATTAACACCATTAGTGACACTAATGGAGGTGATATGCTAACTGGTATTGGTACTAATCTTGGAAGCGCCCTACAAGCAACGATGAGCGGAGGAAATCAAATTATAAAAGCGATTGAAGGAACCATAAAACACTCACTAAGTGGTAACTCGGACCTAGATGAAAAGTTAGTACAGTCAATTGTGACACTTCCTATCACGCTGTTAGCGACAATGATTTTTGATTTTTTTTTTATGATGATGTTTTTTAATCATGAATTTTATGATGCTGTTTTGCAATGACTTTTACAATAATTACGATGAACTTTTAGAGTACTGTTTTAATTCAATGAATTTTTGTGTTGCTGTTTGCAATTATGGTGTTTAACATTTTTATGTTGATTACAATGACATTTTTTTTTACTGTTTTGCAAATGTATTGTTTTGCAATAATGATTTTTATGGCGTTTGCAATAATGATTTTTATGACGATTTATATGATGCTGTGATGAGTTTTGCTGTATTAATGAGTATATTAATGAATTTTCTCAATGGAAATACTACCCATGATGTTAATTTGCAGTGCGGCAGTTTCTTTTTACAAAGGTTGCTAACAAATCATTCAAGCGGAACGCTTGAGCTAATTGAACCATATAAATGTTTTGCATAAACGCTAAAAAACAAGGTGAACTAAACAATTTGTTTATGAACTAAAACGCGTCTAACGTTTGGAAAACATATAAAAACGTGAGTTAGTGAATGTAAAAAGAGTTGAAGTTGGAGTTAAAGTTAGGGAGTTTTCGACGATCAGTCTAGAGAGAATTACCAGTCGCTAAGAGTTAGACAATCCTGGTCGTTGGAGAAAAATAATTATATTCGTTTAGTTTTATTGTACTAATTATTTTGTAACAAATATATTTTATAATAATATAGAGAGAGAGTTCAGTTTTATATTCTAATACAAGTTACCACGAAGTGTTATACACCGCATAACATTTGAATACGATTCAGTAACCTTATTTATATATTAACAATTGTCAAAACATCTTAAGCAACTCGGAAATTTGGAAATTTTTAAGAACAATGCATCTAAGTGGTTTTAGATTATTAAGTTTGATTATTTCATGCAGGACAGGCAACTGGCCATCAGACAAAACTTTCAAGACATCTCTCCAAGAAAATGCTAATAATGTTCTTTCCCAATGGCAATTTGCCCAGGCAATTTATCTAATTTATACTCCATTGAAAATTGATAAGTAAAATTGAAAGATGAAGCTTCTAAACAGAATCCAACCTTACTAGCAGATTTGAGAAATAACAGCATGGTGTCATAAAATAACACCCAAATGTGTCTTTTATTGTCTAAATGCTGCAAAGGTTGTTCTATAAGTTTGAGGAACTTATACAAAGTACCCAAACATGTTTTATATTATGACTTCTTTTTTCTTTTATGTCCATGTGTGCTAATTTTTAAATTAAAATGTTTTCTGGTATTAATTGCATTCACTATAAAGTACAAGAATTGTACTGTATAGTGTATGCAATTTATTGTATAATAATAATTATATCAAGTATTGTAAATACATTTAAAAAATAAACTATGGCATTCTTTTATTTAAATTCTTCTAAAAACTTAAAGACATGAAAACGAAAAAATGTAAGTAAATAAATTAACAAAGTTTTTCATAGTGCTAGAGTACATAGCAAATTAGTTATGTAAAAATCACCAATAAATTGCATATCAAAACTTTTAATTGTTGTTATAAAAGTGTTGTTATGAAATATGTTTTTTTTTCCTTGACTTGAGTCAAATTCTGTTGCTAAAAAAAAAAAAACAACCACCCTAAAAAAATAACAATCTAAACCTTAAAAAGAAAATACAAAAGTTGTATAAAAGTTTTATGAAAAAAATTTCTTTTTTTTTTTAATTAGCAACTTTTTCTAGTTTATTTAAATTAAAATTTATTAAAATTTGATATTTCATCACAACTTTGCTTCCTCTTTTTTAGTATTTGTTTTTTTTCTCAGTAAATAAGTTTAGATTTTAAAACGCTTTAAAAGTTAAAAAAGGCGAACTGCCGCCTACAGTATGTCTAAAAAAATTACTTTAAATGTGGACAAGCAAGGCGTGCAACTGCATGCGCTTCCGGGGAAGTCTTGATTAAAAGTTTCAATATGCAATTTATTCCCAATTTTTACAAAACTAATTTGCTATGTACTCTTGAACTATGAGAAACTTTGTTAATATTTTCACTTATGTTTATTCGTTTTCATGTCTTTTAGTTTTTAGAAGAAAATAAATAAAAGAATACCATGTTTTTTTTTTTAAATGTATTTACAATACTTGATGCCTGTCTCAAATTATTTCCTTTATTTAGCCCAATTTCCAACGTTAATACGAATTACTAGAAATAATGAACATAACGATTGCTCTGTTTGAAAAAATGTTTTTAAAAACTTAAACAAAAGTTTTAAATAGGCTCCCCAAAAGTTCATTAAGAAAGTTCAGTAAATTAACAATGCACTAGCCCACAAAATTTTGCAGCATCATTTTATTTTTTTCTTGTCTGTTTTTTTCCTTGACTTGTATCAATTTTGGTAATGGAAAATAACAAATGCCTAAAAAAAAAGAAAACAAAAACAGTAAAATATTTAGGTATATTACTTTTTTGACAAAATTTTTCTTTTTTAAATTTTCAATATTGTTTAGTTTATTTTATTCTGATTTTATATTTTGTATAATATTTGTTTTCTTTCTTCCAATATTACTGTATTATTCTCTGCAGTTTCTTATAGCTTTATTTTTCCCCAAATTCTTAAAGCGCTTACTAAATAAAATTGTGGTCAAGTTGTCTAAAAAAATTACTTTAAGCGTGGAGGAACATAGCGTGCGACTGCACCCACTTCCTGGGAAGGCTTGAGATTAGTGTTTTAGTTAATTATTAGCTAATATCACTATAATATTGATGTGTGAGTTTTTTGGGTTTTTTTAAACCCTTATATCAATCAATAAAGGAAAACAAATGATTTTAACATATTAAATGTTAAACAAAATATAATATTACAAAATTATCATCACATAAAGTTACAAAATTTTGTAAAATAGATATAAGTTCACATACCTCATTTATATGTAAAAGAAAGACAAGTTCCTTTAAAGTTTTTCCACAAAATTGCAAATGGCCAGTTTCAAAACTCGTAACAGAAGTTTTCAAATCATCTGTGACATCAAAAACAAGTGTCACATAATAAACTTTTCCTGAATCTGATAATGGGATTGTATGTAAAAATGTATTTGATGGAACACATGCTCCATTTGGAAAGGAACAATTACTAATTATACAGTTATCACCAATTTTATTATCTGCATTCAAAATAGAATACTCAACAATAACGCAATTTCCGATGCAAGACAAATCTGGGATGTATGAATGAATCAGTATATGCTGTTTGCTCCTGTCACCCAGTACACCACTATCAGTTTTTAACATTACATGATTTAAGCATGATAATTCCTCTCTAGAAAAAAAAAATAAGGCAAAATTCAATAACATCAAACAAGAATTTGTGGGCTAATTTTGTTTACTGCAGTGAGTGAAGGGGGAGGGAGTAAAAAGCCTTATCTTCCAAGCAAGAAGACTCGTTACATTATACTGTAGTATTTAATTAGTCTATCAAAGAGATTTCTTTTGAAGACATGCATGAGCATAAAAAAATTTTAAAAAATCTTTTAAAATTTTTCAATGTTTTACTTGTAAGTTTTTCAATGTTTTTTATCAACCGTTTTTGAAGACGACTTAAGTTGCTTTTTTTCAATATTTACAGCTGTTTTTCAAAATGCCTTAAGTTGCCTTTTACGTATTTCGAGAAAAACACTATTTTATATATATCTTAAATTCTGCAGTTTTACAAGAGATATGTAATTAAAATAATTATTTATATAAGCTTTATCTTAATTATATTATGGATTGGAAATAAAAATATGAATTTAAAAAAAAAGCATTTGCGTTGAATTTTTTGTTGGAAAAAAACGTAGATAGGCTTTTTAAAGATGAAAGCATAATTCAAAATGCCTTATGAAACAATGACAAGTCACTTTTTATGAACTTATTAACTTAAAAACTTTATCAAGATATAAATAAAAATCTATTCAAAATGGACCTAATTTATCAGAACTACAATAATTTAAGTGATGAGAATTCAAAAAATGAAAATAACAAGGAATCCACAGTGTTAAATAAAGGACCATCGCAAGAAATTTCACAAAAATTAGAAAAGAAAAGTAAAAATTCTGAGAAATCAATACATAAAATTATAGTGGAAGATTGCAATTGCCAACATAAATGTGTCAAAAATATAGCTAACAATAAAGGACATGAAATTAATGATGACTTCTGTAGTAAATCACTGAAAACCGCTTGGATTTTTTCATAATTTTTAAAAAATAATCATTCAATAACATTTGTTATTATCTTTATTAGCTTATTTCATCAAGTGTGCGTATTTTTTAAACAGTCATTAAAAGTAAATTGTTCTTAGTTTATTAATGTTCTAAACATTAAAAAAGATAAAAAAGCTATACGATTATTAATGCAGCTATACGAGCTAGCAAGCTAGCTCGTATAGCTGCATTAATACAGCCACGGAAAATGATGCACTGTGGTAACTATGTGAGTTGCTGGTCTAGTTTTTTTTTGTTGATAGTAGAGGCATTGACAATATCATCCGGCAGAGCATTCCAAGTATTTGCAAGCTGATTGTTGAAAAAGTCGAACAAAGCAGTTGCTATTAATTTTGTGATGAAAGTGTTTGCGATGACCATAGATGGGAGGAATGTATAATGGGTCAATATATCAGTTGATTAATTTAATTTAATTTTTAATTTTGAATATTTGGATAAGGTCACCGCATTTTCTTCTGACACTTAGTGAAGTTAGTCCAAGTATATCACATCTTGTCTTGTAATCAAGGTGCTTTAATTCATGAGGTATTTTTGTGGCACGATGTTGTATTTGTTCAATTTCAGTAATGTCTTTTTTAAGGTGAGGGCACCAGGTGGTGATAGTATATTCTAGATGTGGACGTACATATGTTGTATAGAAGTTTTTCCAGACTTTTACATCTTTACTAACAAAGTTGTGCTTCAACATACCTAAGATTTTGTTAGCTTTAGCAGCAGCGGTGAATCTTGACTATTGTACTTTAGATCAAGAGATAGTTGAACACCAAGGTCTTTTTCCAATGTTGTTGTTTCTAGCTGGATTCTTTTGACTCTGCTATTGGAGTCATTTTAATTGATGAAGTAGATGTGAGGGACAGATTTGGATTGGTTGATGTACATAACTTTACATTTTTTGATGTTAAGTTGCATGAGCCATAATTGGGTCCAATTGACAATATTATCTTAACATAGACTATAAATAGTGTTGGACCAAGAACTGAGCCCTGAGGAACGCTACTAGTAACCTGTTTCCATTTGGATGCAACATTACCAAAAGGACACATAGTGTTCTGTTAGAAAAAAAGGCATTAATCTAATTTAAAACATTTCCACTAATTCCATAAGATTCAAGCTTTTTCAGTAACCTTTTGTGATGAACTTTGTCAAATGCTTTGGCAAAATCAAGAAATAAGGTATCAACAAGTAGCTTTTGTGATGCAGTGTAAGTCAAAAAGTCCATAGTTTTTTGCTGACAAATCCATGTTGACATTGGGAGAGAAGATCGTTAGATAATAAGTGATGCATGACCTTATCTTTAACCAGGCTTTCAATTATCTTACATGGTACAGAAGTGATGGAAATTGGTCTGTAGTTTGTAGGGTCAGTCTTAAAACCGTTTTTGAACAATGGAGTTACATTAGCTACAAGCCAAGCCTTTGGTAAAATTGCTTGTTCCATTGACAATTGAAAAATCATGGCAAGCGGAGCTGCTATTGTGCTGGCACATGCTTTAAGAATGTAAGAATTATTTGATCATCTCCAGCAGATTTATATTTGTCAAGTGCCTCAAGGTGTTTGCTGAACAGATTCAGAATCAAATGAAAAGTTTAAGAGAGAGGTAGAGAGCGTTTAGCAAACAGAGGCAGATTTTGATTATGAGACTCAATAGTAAAGACAGATTGGAATACCTTGTTTAATGTATTGGCAATCAAAAATCTATCGGTACAGAGTTCACCGGATGGAGAACACAATGTGTTGATATGATTATTGACAGTACGTTTGCTATTAATGTAGACAAAGAGTCTTTTTGTATTGTTCTTGTCCTTAGATAGGTTTTTTTCGAATAAACGAATTGCAGCTCTAGTCTCTTTTCTTACAAGATTTCGAGTGAACTTATAATCATTAGCCAGCAAGATAATTTTCCACTTGCTGTTATGGTTGAGAAACCAGAGTTCTTTCTTTGGTTTAATTAGTAATAAAAGTTCTTTTGTTACCTAGATTGATCGTCGTTTATTTTGTTTTAAATGGATGAATGGAATAAATTTTTTGCAACCTTTGTTGTAGATATTGCAGAAAATTTGGTAGCTTTCATTAGCATCTAAGTTTTTAAATAGAATTTCGCACCTCTGTTTAGACAGGAATTTGTTTAATTGAATATACTTTCTTTTATTATAAACAAATTTTGAACTAGTAAAACGATTAAAGTTGGTGTAGTCATCAGCTAATTGATAATGCCAGGATAGAGTACCTTGTGAACTATTTCATAATTGCATACCAAGAACAATCTCACTTGTACGATTGGCTGATTCGCTGATTATTAGGTCAAGAATATTTTTTGAAGACCTGTTGGATTGAATAAAGGTTGGTCTAGTGACATGTTATTATAGATATAGACTGTTGATAATGTTAACAAATTTTGTATCTAAACTGGTTTCAGTGTTTAAGGTGTATATCCACCCTTTTTTCCATTTGATGGTCGGGAAGTTGAAATCACTGGTAATTATAAGGTCTGCAAACTTCTTTTTATTAATAAATAATTTGGCATAAGAAATAGTGTTAACAATTTCATATATAATATATATATATATATATATATATATATATATATATATATATATATATATATATATATATATATATATATATATATATATATATATAATATATAAATATATACACATACATATATAAAGTAGTGCAGTAGTGTCCCTAATTACCTAAATGCATTGTCAATACAAAAATGGTATATATATTCTTGTGTTGTTCCAATATGATAAAACTTAGATTTATCAAGTAAAATAATATTAAGCGGTGTTCCTTTTAATACATTAAAGATTTCTAATCTTGTCTTTTCTAATTCATCAAGTACAACTGTAACATTTTTAACATCTCTGCAATAATCTGAAGTAGCAGCTGAACCCAAAGATTGTAGGAAATCTATAATAAAATAACGTAAATTTATGTTAATAAATAAAAAAAATTAATAAAAAAATGATTAAAATTTAATTTAAAATTCAAAATAACTAAACATGCTTTGAGAAAATTGGGGGTTTTAAAGCTAAATATTGAATCAAATAATGTCTAAAACTGAATCCTGAGTCAAAAAATTTATCAGGTTTGATACAAATTTAAATATTATATATAATGAAATGAGTTTTAAGTCCAAATAAACTCAAAACATACCACCGTATGCATCTATTTCACAAGCTAATGGGCCATGCATTTTATACCAATTTAGCAACAACTTTGCGGTATTATTATCCATATAGTATGCACTATCTGAGTAAATATATTCTTTGCTATCATTAATAAAAACAGCACCTTGGCTTCTCATCAATTCTTTAGAAGGTTTATGCAAAAACCGCTTACATCCAGACATTTTTGTTGTAGTACTATTGCTTTCTAACAACTAAAACAAAATTATGGTACAATAAAGAATTTATATATAAAAAAAAAAACTAACGTGTGTATGTATATATATATATATCAACAAATGGAGATTTAGTTGTGCATGAAATAATTTAAACTTATAAAATGTTTTAAATAAAAATGTTCAAAAAAAATTTTTAAACTTTATTCTTCATGATGGCATAAAAGCAAAATAATAGTTAAAAGCAATTGAGTTATTTTCAAACATAGAACAACTTTGTATTTTAAATAAATTTATAAATTAAGACTGATTAGATTACTGAATAAATTTAATAGTAGGGTAAATGTTTTTCATGAATGTCTTAACCAGTAGAAGTTCTTCTCTGGTTCTTCTCAGTAGCCAGTAAGAATGAAAAAAATATTATCAATAAAACATTTGTAAAATGTGTGTGGGAACTGTTCAGTAATATAAGTATCAAGATGGCTAATATAAAAAGATTAGCATAAGGTGGAACCATATGAGCTCCCATGCTAGTACCTTGGATTTGTCAATAATGTTGGTCATTGAATTTGAAAATTGTGTTGGTAAGTATGGTATCAAATATAATAGATAGGATGTTAGAAGATGGGCATTGATGAGGTAGTTTACTGCTTAAAAATCTTGCTTTACTGCTTCAATGCCTTTGTTATGTAGAATATTAGCATAAAGTGCATTGACATTGTAGTGACAAACTTGATCTCGTGTGAGATGAATTTGTACTGTGATAAAATACTTTTACTCCGCAAAAAGTTGATAAGTGATATTTTGTTTAGTATGTAAAGTTGTATGTGTATGTAAAGTTGGGTTTTATGGTAGTAAGCAGTAGGTTTTGTCATCCCACAGCAAATCTTTAATTTTGTTTACTCAACCACTTGTGTTAAGAATAAAAATACTGCCTACTTTATCAACTTTTTTTATGAAGATAAATTTATTTGATTTCAAGTTTTTCAAGGCTTCTCTCTGTGGTTAAGTAAAATTATGAAACTTAGTTCGTCTGCTGTCAAGTAGTGTGGATCCATTTTTATAGACAGTTTCAAAAAAAAGATACAGTGATATTAGAATTGTCATCATCAAAAAAAACCTTAACTTCTTTCAAATTCTTGATGGCGTCTAAATAGGTTTTATTCTGTATATATTTTCCAGCCTGGCTGTACCCAAGCCCCATGGCCAGAACTTGTGTTTCAGTGTTTAGTAATGAAAGGGTTGAATATATGTTTATTGTTTGATAAGGTTAAACAATACTCCTTGATATTTTGCTAGTAGATAAAAAATAGTGAATACTGTTAGTATATCGTATACAAATTTAACAGTAAAAAAACTTGACAAATAGTAACAGCAAAAATAGAAGTAGCTTTTTTTCAAGATAAACAATAAATCTGACATAGACACCTATGTATGAAGAATCTCTAACATAGAACTTCACCAGGGAATGCCTTGGATTGGGGCTAGTACCAAAGGAATCAGTGGATTGGGGTCAGTACCAAAGGAATCACTGGATTGGGGTCAGTCTCAAAAGGAATCAGTGTAAAGAACTGTTAGATAATGCAGTCATACCTCCGAGAATCAATGATAGACAAAACGCCATGGAAAAATCTGACCTATGATTCAAAGGAAAATTTCTCTAATACAGACCAGGAACTAGTGTACCAACCTGTGGCAACTCAGATTGTGTTCTGTGCAACATTTAAGAAGGCTAATGATGTTTGAAATGATGTTGAAAAATTGGGAAAATGAGAGCATCATGCAGTTAGTTAATAAAAACCTCTAAGACGTGTAGGTGTACATGGGTAAATATATAACAGTCTAAGTAGCTTGTTGTATCATTTAGTCAGTTATTTTTATGGATCATCAAGTCGCTGCTTGATGATCCATAAAAATAACTATTTGTTTGTGTGTAATTACTTACAAAAGATGGATTAGAATGGGCTACGCATGCTTGTAGATGTAAAGGAAAAATAAAGATCTGGATAGTACACAAGAATGTACTCTAAATGTGAAAAATTAGATATAGAATGTTGTATGCATATAAATCATAAAATACAACAAAAAGCCGTAATAAAATAATTCACTTTTAACAACAACTGCAACAAACAAAGTATTGATTGAAAAATCTTTTTCATTTTCAACCAAATGGTCTAAGTAAAAAAAAAACAATATTTTTCCACAATTATGAAAAAAAAAACATTTTTGATTAACTAGACACAACCGAATTGTTTCTCAACGCAGGGGCCTTGTTCTTCAAGGTTTGTATGTTGGAGTTATAGAGTTGAGAGAGGGTTGCAGGCTTTCACAGGAAGATGTGCGATTTCACGCCTTTATACGACCACGCAAGTTACATTTTGCTACAACGGTTTGACCACGGCTAATTCAAAAAACATATTAGAAACGCGCTAAATAAAAAATATTCTAAAAAAGTGAAATTAATTACTTCAAAACTTCTTAACAAATATTTTTATATTAGCGAAACGATTTTAAATAAAGTAACAATTTACTGAAAAAAAGTTTTGTTTTTTAAATATAATTGACAGTTGTATATATTTTTTTAATTTAAAACATAAATTGTTCAAGTGTTCATTTCTAAAATAAATCTTATTAAAAAATAAAAAATTGTAATGTTTTTATAAACGATGACATTCTACGACTACGAAAATCTCTTTAACAAATTTAAATATAAGAATAATTAAAGTTAATGCATTTAAAAAGATAAACAAAATTTCGTTAAAAAAAAAAGTTTTAGAAAACCGTTACAATTTGATCTTAAATCCTTTTATATTATCGAAATGTTTTTAATGAAGTAAAAAAAAAAACACTTCTAATTAATTAAAAAAAAAAGTATTTATAAAATGTTTTTTTATTTTATTTATATAACTATGTATTTTTTATGAGAAACATTTAACTTTTGAACATTTAAACAAATAAAAAATATATAAAAAATGTTGAAACAAAGATTGAAAAGGTTTTTTAATGCGTAAATTAAATAGACTAAGCATAGTTTGATGAGTTTTGTTTTAGTTGCGTTATATATATATATATATATATATATATATATATATATATATATATATATATATATATATATATATATATATATATATATATATATATATATATATATATATATATATATATATATATATATATATTTATTTATTTATTTATTTTTTTGTGTTTTTGCTTAAACTAAGTTTTTTTTTTTTCTCTCTTTCGTTAATATTTATTATTTTTTTAAATTTTTTTTTCAGATAAGTTTAGGTAAGTTTTTGTAGCGCGTTTTTAAATTTTAAAAATATGCCGTGGTCAAATCGTTAAGTCATTTTTTTTTTGCGTGGTCATATAAAAACATGAAATCGCACGTCTTCCTGTGAAAGCCTGGGTTGTAAAAATAATTAAAATAGCCTCCTCAACTGCAGTGGCTATTATGGGGAGGCTTGAGGAGGTATAATAACTTTTAAAAAAAGTGCAAATTAATAAGATTAATAAGACTATTTTTAACATATTAGATAAATCTGTCAATATTAGATAAGTCTGTTGATATTATATAAGGCTGTCAATATTAGATAAGCCTGGAAATGTTAGGCATTATTAAATAGGGTGGCAATGAGGCAACTCATCAATATAACTCATTAATATAACTATTTCCTAATACTGTAATACTGTAAAAAAAAAATGGTGATAAGAATCTGTTAACAACTGAAAATTAAAATAACTTTTTAATTTTAATTAAATAGTTCTGTGTGATAGCTAACTGATAAATTAAGCACTATAAAAATATTAGAAAACTATTACAGACTAATACCCATCAAAATTAAAACAAGTTTTAACAATGGTATTTTCAACACGTTTATATTTTTACAATCACATAAAATTTAGAACTGGTTTTAATTCAATGCAGAAAGTGCAAAAACCATTTAAATAAAACAACCTTTTAATGTTTTTTAATGAGACACAATTAGGACACAGTTGATTTAAGTGCAGGTTTGGTGTAAATGGGGTATAATCTACAACTCATTTTATTTATATTGCAATTATCGGAATTAATCAGCAGAACTAACTATTAGATTGTAAAAGTTAGTGTTTGTGTTCAAGTAAAAGTTAGTGTTTGTGTTTTTTATATCTAAAAACTAACAAAAAAGACTAGAAACCAACAAAATCGACAAGAAAGTCAGTAAGGACTTTTTTCATTGTGGTAAATTTTATAACAAAAACTTTAAGCTATATGTAAATGATTTCTTATAACTTTACAAGTAATTAAAACATGTTGATAAATTCAAATTAAATACATAAAGTCTACAAAGGCTTCAAAAGTAGTCTACTTGACATAATAAAAACATTGACTTAATTACACTTAAGTTAAATTTGACAACAAAAACTTTCTTTCGTTCTTTCTTTTAAATTTGATTGCTCAATATAAAAAATTAATATTTATTTTAAAAAATTGTACCTGAGATGATTTTAAATCATCAAGAACATAAACACCATGTGTCAAGCCAACTTCAATTGGAGAACAATGAGCAAGAGCAGTTACACCTTCTCTTGTAAAATTCCATTCATCTCCATCCAAATGGTAGAGTTCGAAGCAATCACTACTTGCTACAAATATACCAGCATTCATTCTTTTTGGAAAATCAACAAACAGTGCAAGCTTGACTTCAATCATTTGATATATTGGATCACCTTTAAAAAACAAAGTTTTTACTTAATTTTACTAAACATTATGGCAGGTCTTTTGATATTGACTTTTGAAAAACTTTTTAAAATAATGATTATTTCCATTATTATGGAGGGTACCTTGTACCTTAAACAAAACATGTACATCCTAACCTTAAACAAAAAATGTACCTCCTAACCTTAAACAAAACATGTACCTCCTAACTTTAAACAAAATATCTACCTCCTAACCTTAAACAAAATATCTACCTGCAAACAATAAACAAAACCTAATAATACTTTTGTAACAACATGTTTTAATTGTAGTATACTAGTTTGCATCAAGATCTAAACTAAATGTATGTACTGTAAGCCTGACCATCCAAAAGAACCTTAAGTATTTTGTCTGGCAAAACAATAAGGTTGAACTAAAGTTACTTTTTTAAAGTTTTTAATTTGCATCTAGATTTGTAACTGTATCCAGAAGTTTTCTTTTTTAACCAAATCTTTTATTGTTTAAAAGTATTTTTTGATCGTATTTAACTATTAGATGTCTGAGGGGTATTTCATTAGTATGAAGAGGGCATGTAAGCCAGTTCAACTTTTTATTAGGTTTTATTAACTCAACAAATTGTATGACATTTCTTTCCCATCCGGAACTAACATTTGTTAAATCACCACTCAATGCTTGTATTGATTTTTTAACAAAATGTTGAATCATCCATTCTACTAAATGATTGTCAATTATTTCAAGTTTCTCTTCTTAAGTTGATTTTCTTGAAGTAAAGTGAACCAAAAATCTCCCATCTGGTTCCATGCATGTAATGTTCTTCTTTAGTATGAAAAAATTAACTGGATACTTCTACTTTTGTCTTTTTCAATATAAAACAAAACACAATAGATGTTCCTATTGTCTAAAGATTTTAAAGATTTATTTTTTAACACAATCATGACTTTAGCTTTTTCTTGGTGGTCGATGAATTGCGTTCTCAGAAATTAATTCAGCATCAATCTAGTCCAGTAATCAATGCTGAAGCAGCTATATAACTTATTTTAAAAATATGTAGAAAAATATGTTAGAAGAAAACAAACTTAAATCTTTAATTTAACTAATGATAAAAATTGTTTATTCATAAATTAAAATTTAATAAATTTTAATTTATAAATTAAAATATAACACATTTATAAATTAAACTAAAATTTATATAATATTTTTAACTTGATGTTATTTAATATATTTATATTTTATGATGTTTTCTATGTTTATACAAATTTCTATTTATTAAACATACAAAAAAAAAACTTTTTAACAATGTTTGGAAAATGACTCCCAAATTTCTTATACTATTTTTTTAAAAGAAAACAACCAATGGCTTTTGAAAATTGCAAAAATAGTTTACCTTCCTTTTTGAAGAAAAGGAAAAAAACTGAAATCAAACTCAAAATTGTCAAGTTAAAATCAAAATTACAAAGAGTTAAAAAACTAAAAAAACTGATTTTTGAAAACTTTATTTTCAAGTTGGAATCTTATTTGAATTTATCTTTTTCTTTTAAAACTACGTACGCTTTTATTTCAACCCTCCCCTAACATTTTTTTATGCGATACATTTTTAGTTTCTTTATTTCTTGTTTGTATTTGATATATTTTTTTTATATATTCATAGATGGTTTTTTAACTTTTTGAGATATCTGTAAAATATTTTTAAACTAAAATTCTGAGTGAAATAAAAATAACAAAAAAAAGAACTGAATTAAGACTATTGTTTAGTTTACCAAGTTTAATCTAATTATGAGAATTATTTTAACTACAAATTTGTTTGCTTTTACATTAAAAGATCACCAAGTGCCAAAACAAGTTTTGTTTATATCTTGAACAAACCTAAGTAAATTAGTTTGGAGTTCATTAAACTTTCCAAAATAAATTATTTAATGAGATACTAACAGAAAATTTCATAAATTTTAAATCTTTGTGAAATAATTTTTAAATAATGCATTTTTATAGTTAATATTCAACCTTTATACAATAATTAAATGATTTAAGATCAAGTTAAAAATTTTTGTTTAGTTTTTGTTTATTAAGTTAAGAATTTTAGTTTTTTTTTTTAAGAAATAAATTGCGGTGCAGAAAACCTGTTTCTTAAAACCAGAAATCTATTTTCAGCTGCAGCAATTTTTAGAACTACATAAATATTTTTCAAATTGTATCTTATACCTAAACTTTGAAAAATTAGCAAGCTTATTATATCAGTGACGGATCCAGGAATTTTTTTTTGGAGGGGGGAGGGGGATATTGAAATAATTTTGTATTTTGTATCATATTTGCATCTCCTAAAAAAAATAAAGTCCTCATTTTAAGATATTTTAGGACTTCACAGATTCTGGTGTAGGGGGAGGGGGCTTACCAGACATCTCAACCTGGATCCATCACTGTACTATATCTAAAAACAAACAAAAAATACAACTTGTCTCTTATTAATTTACTAATTCCATAAATTTACACATTAAAAATCAACTTTTCAGATTTTTGAATATTTTTTTAGGTTTTTTAAGTAGCTATTATGGATAAAATGTGACATTAAAAAATAAATGTTAACAGTTTAAAAAGTCTAGAGCTTGTATATAACAAAAAAATAAGTTTTTTAAAATTTCACATTAAAAATATACAGTTTCAAAGGATGAGCCAATTATTTTCGCTTTTTTGTTGTTGTTTTTTTTGAAAAAATCAGATACCTTGAATTACAGTATTTCATAAACTGAACAAGATTTTAAATTGAAATTATCAGGATTCGTGTTTTCCATCAATATAAAATAACCCACCAAGTTTCATAAAACCTGAGACAGTCCATGATTAAAGCCTAAAATTTTAGCCCAATTAACATAGGCATCAAAATCAATTTTATTAAATTTTATTTTTTTAATAGAAGTTTCTCTGCAATTTTAGGTTTTATTCAACCCAGTAATAAATATTCCAAATAGGATATTAATTATTAATGATTTATTTATAACTTAAAAACTAGTAACTTATTGATCCCTTTCAAATTAGGAAATTGGATGTCTAAATCACACGCTATATTTCAATATAATAAATCAAAGTTATATCTTACCAAAAGGAAGTGCAGTAAAGATTTTTCCTAGTGCAGATGCTGAAGGAAGCCTTTGACTGTATCCACCTGATAAAAAAATAATCACTTTAAGAGTTTCCAATTTTTCGCCATAAATTTGATTGAGCTCATCTATTATTGCAATTACAGCACCACCATTTCCTACTTTAACACCAACAGGGTCATGCATAACATGGTATGTAGGTGACAAAGGCAATTCTTTGCGCTCTATTTTTTCTTTAATTTGCATTTCAAACGCATTTTTTTGATCACAGTCTAATGCACTCAACACAACCACATCCCAGAAAATTTCTGAGGAATATTTTCCTCTCATCTTATTAAATTTGACAATCTTTTCAAAAGTTGCATTTTTGATGATAAAATCAGCCATACTTTGACAGTGATTTTTTAAACAGTTGCTCAAATTTTATTAATTGAACTTTATATTTGCACTGAACAACATTTAACAACTAAAATTTGAGGAAAATTTAATTTTAACATCAAAACATTAAAAAAAAAATTATAAAACTTGCATTATATTTCAATACAATATAAGAATGCGTATGTGCATTATATTATAAATATTATATTATTTTATAATATTTATAGGCAATGGGCAATTATATAACTATGCATTTTGTATATGTCACATACACATATACACATGATAATAATTATCATAATATGTGCATTATATTATATAATTTATATAAGAAACCAAGTATACAAGCTAGTACTAAGGAGTTCTTTATTTAAGAGGTTTATTTTCCAAATTTAGTATCAAAAGTTTTGTGAGTTTTTTAAGAACTTTTTCTCAATTAATGGATTGGATACACTTTCCTTCCAATGTATTACGCATGCAAATTTAATACACATTTCAACTGTTGTTCTCCGTTTTGATAATAATAGATCACTTGATTAAACCTGTTAATATTAGAAATTTGAAGGGAAAAAAGTGTTTATTTTGATGTGATATGTAGTTAAAAAGTTAGGAAATTTATCTTATCAATTCGTCGTGAATAGTAAAGGATTGTATAAGAAGTTACAACTTTTGTTTTTATACAAAAGTTTTAAATTAAAAAGCTTAAATAAATGTTTATAAGAATTTGTAGTTCATAAATTTTTTACAAATTTCATACAAATTAAAACACTTTATTAATAATTTAGTTTGTTTTTTTTTAAACCAGAAGTAAAACAAACAAATGCGTTTGTTTGACATGCATTTAAATGAAGAGCGTTTTTATGGGGCGCTTAGAGTGCTCTCATACAAGGAAGGGGGGAGTAAAAGAGGAAGAATAGGTTAGTCCAGATAAACGGGTTTTAATACAACACTTTTAATTCTATCAATTTACGGTCAAATTCGCATTTTTTTAACAGCTGTTTCATTACAATTTCAATAGGGTTTAATATGCTTATATTAGTTTTCTTATTGTTATATATGTTTATGTTAGTTTTATATTATGGTGAGAAATAAATACAAAACCTTTGAAAAATCGATATTTTTAGATCTTTTTAAAATTCGACGATTTTTAAAGTCTGATTACAATAAAGGTCTTTGTTCTTTGTAGTGATATATCTTATACTGCTCACGGTCGTTTGTAAGAGGAAAGTTATTATACGCATGCGCAGTGGAATTACATTTCTTGAAGGTTTTTTAAAATGGCTACGGTAACAGGATTATACAAACTAATCATTGACAACGAGTAATTTGTTTAATTTTAGATAATTAAATAGGTTTTTAACTAGTTTTTTCATGAAATTATTTTGAAAATAGCTTGCAGCTGTACCAAGAAATTTAAAAAATAAAATACAAGATCTCTGAATGTGAATAATATCTACTTTCAGCTAAAGCAACTTTAGTTTTTTTGTTTACAATTTTGAAACCTTTTTAAAAATATTTTTGAGCGTAGAAATTTTTTAATTTAAATTTATTCAGCAAGATAAACCTTTTATCTATTTTGTATTTTTTGCTTATATGAGGATTCAATTTTTTTTGCAGGGTTAAAAGAAAATCTTAATCATTAAACTTGTGTAACCTGTTGCTATGGTGCTCTTTTCCGATGTGGCTATATATATATATATATATATATATATATATATATATATATATATATATATATATATATATATATATATATATATATATATATATATATATATATATATATATATATATATATATATATATATATATGTATATATATATATATAACATAAACACTTATCTATTTTTTTGATAAACCTTCTGAAGGAGTTGAACAGAGTGCTCAATATTCTTAAAGAAGAGAGCATAGTATTGTGATATGTTAGTAACATAATATTTTTATATGTTAGTAACATAATATTGTTATATGTTGGTAACATATATAGTAACATAATATTGTTATATGTTGGTAACATATATATATATATATATATATATATATATATATATATATATATATATATATATATATATATATATATATATATATATATATATATATATATATATATATATATATATATATATATATATAAATATATATATATATATATATATATATATATATATATATATATATATATATATATTAGGGCCCTGCAAATTGACATTTTTTGTTTCAAATTGAATCTCAAAGCAGGTCTTGATTCGCGAATCGAATCATGAATCGAATCAGCTATTCGTGAAAACCAAGTTTAAGTTTGTTTTTTTTTCCAAAAAGATAAAAATATTTCTTTGAACAAATTCTTTTTGCTCAGATTATATTTTTGGCGTTTGTTTTAAAGTGATGTTAGAACTATTTTCAATTACTCTTTCTCCCCCTGGTTTGAAAAACCCATATCAATTACATTTTAGCTTTAGAAGTCTAAAAAAACCAGCAATATTCGCAAAAATATGATTTGAAAAAACTTGAATCTTTTTTTTTCGACTCGAATTGGAGCGACACTTGATTCACGAATCGAAGCAATTCACAAGATCCTAATATATATATATATATATATATATATATATATATATATATATATATATATATATATATACGCATACATACATTATATATTTATGCACACTTATCTATGATCAAAATTTTGAATGTTATTATTCCAGGCTTTTGATTTAGTCAATAACCTCAAATAAATCAACTGTATTGCCTGCATCAAAGCAATACCATTAGTTATGTTTTTGATTTTATCGATTGAATGCTATCATTTTGATTCTATCAATTGAATCATCAGTCTGGTTTTGTACATATTGATTCAAAATTAATAAATTATGATAAAAATTGATTTAAAACAAACAAATAATATAGTATATATTTTTTTAGTATTCCAACCATATTCGCGTTTCAACAAAGAAACTTACCTGTTGTAAAGAAGGGAAAAGTAAACTAAAGCAGAAAGACTTTTTCTTGGAACTCGATATAAATATTTTTTGTGTTTCGTGTTTAAATTTTTTTTTTTAATGTTTTCAGCTTGAGATTGTTAAAATCAATATGAATATATTTAAAATATTTTTTACTTAAAGATTGAAAGAATGAAAAATGTTTTTAATGCATAAAAGATATTTATATTTTCATTTGAATTATATTTTGATCTTTTATTTTGTGTTGATTGATATTTATTTGATGCATAAAATAAATTTATATTTTTTAAATTATACTAATGTTGCTTTTTTTTCTGTTTGTCTCTATTGCATTATTACGAATATTACAAACTTTATATAGCTTTATATCTAAAAATTAAATAGTTTATCAAAGTTATGCTTTAAGTTCAAAACTTGTTTGTGTTTTTATTTATAATATATATATATATATATATATATATATATATATATATATATATATATATATATATATATATATATATATATATATATATATTTATATATATATATATATATTATATATATATATATATATATATATATATATATATATATATATATATATATATATATATATATATATATATATATATATATATATATATATATACATCAGAAAGGAGTATCGTAGCAACAGGTTACAAAAAGTTAACGATTAAGATTTTATTTTAACCCTGCAAAAAAAATTGAATCCTCATAAAAGCAAAAAATGCAAAAAAGATAAAAGGTTCATCTTGCTGAATAAATAAAAATTTAAAAATTTCTACGCTCAAAATTTTTTTTAAAAAGGTTTAAAGATTATAAACAAAAACAGTAAAAGTAGCTTTAGCTGAAAGTAGATTTTATTCACATTCAGAGGACTTGTATTTTATTTAAAAGATTTCTTAGTAAAGCTGCAAGTTATTTTCACAATAATTTTATCTTAAAAATAGTTAAAAGCCTATTAAATTATCTAAAATTAAACAAGTTACTCGTTGTCAATGATAAGTTTTTAAAAACGTTACATCCGTAGCCATTTTTAAAATTTTAAATTACTTTTAACTCTACTACGCTTGCGTATAATAACTTTCCACTTATTTTCAAAGTCTAAACGACCGTGTGCTGAGTTAGGTGAGCATGATGATGTCATTCTCACCTAACGTCAAATAGCCTGCTTCCGGGGGCTTCAGTACATACATCGACTGACAAATAGCCTGACTCGCAGTGGAGTGCTGCTACATCGACTGAGGGTTTGGTATGGGTCAGCAACATTTTCATTCATTATTCTTCGTTTTCCCTCATCGTTTTCTAAAAACGCTCACTTAATTAAGGCTAGCAAAAAAAGTGAGCAATTGCGCATATAAATATGCTATAGTATATATATATATATATATATATATATATATATATATATATATATATATATATATATATATATTTATATATATATATATATATATATATATATATATAGATAGATAGATAGATAGATAGATAGATAGATAGATAGATATATAAATATATAGATATATATATATAGATATATATACAGGGCTTTTGAGAGGAAGGGGCAAAGGGGGCAAACTGAACCGAGCGCCAAGCTTAAGGGGGCGCTTCGCGACCCGTTGGTTTTTTTTTTTTTTTTTTTTTACAATGAATTGAAAACAGTTTTTATATTTAAAGTTTTTATATTTGAGGTTGAAACTTTAGTAGTCCAAATATTGGTAAAACTTGCTTTTAGTTTTAGGTTAGGATTAGTGTTGATGTTGATTAAATAAGTATTTGGTTAAATAAATTAGTTGATAAATAATAATAATTTGTTTTATAGTTGATAATTAAAGGTTAAATAAGTTGGTTGATATTTTAAAAAGGATTTTTAAAGTTATTTATAAATTTATATATAGATATATAATGGTAGTGCGCTTGCCGCTACCAATATATATAAAAATTTATATATATATTTGTAGCTTAGAAGCATGAGATTTTCAGAAAAAAAGTTTCCGGCTTCGAACCCATATTTGGTTTTGAAGCAATCTAAGTTTTTTTTATTTTTTAGGGGGAAAAATAAAATTCTTGGAGCACCTAAAAAAAAATTTAAAAATATTATTATACTTTTTGTTTTAAATTGTTATTTTTGA